CTCCCTCTCTCCCTCCCTCTCTCCCTCTGTGCTATTTACACACAATGTCATTTCATGTAAGGAATGAGAAAGGAATTAAAATTGTCCAGAATGGCTATTTTTATCTGAATAATTGAAAATGATTATCTTTCTCAGTTCTGATGGAAATATGTTTTCGAGTTTGTTCTGCATTAATCATAGTGTTATATGAGATTTCCCATTGAGATCTTTTTGTTTTCTTTCTTTGAGCTTTGCATTTGTTTTAAGAAACAGAGAGAAGACTTTGCATAATTGCAACAATGCACAATAAAAGTGAGATAGAAAGAACAGTTAAGAAGTCCACTAAACAAGTACCCTTCCTCTAAGGAGTGGAAGCTTGGCCTAGGCAGCTGGGGGTTTTGACCAGTGCTGCAAACTGTTCTTCACATGGGTGAGGGAAGTGCTGCAAGGAGCCACTCAGTTGTGGTTCCCACAGACCGGAGCATTAGTACTTGAGACTTCCCTTTCGTCATGGCTGGTTTTGCTGGTGACTCAGCCAGCTGTGGCTTCAATGTAAGAAGCCTCGATCTCGTTACTAGCTGAATGACTCGCCCCTCTTATCTTTATTTTGGGGCTTGCAGTCATAAAAATGTATAACAACCCATTATGAAGGCATGTGTCAGTCTGTTTCCCCCTCTATTCCAGTGTGATACAATTTGGGGATGTGCCCATGCTGGTTGAATTTCTTTCCATCATTTTTTCCTGATGTTACAGATAAGTGAAAAGGAAGTTCTGGAACTTAGATCAACTAACTTTTAGGGTCATGCTCCTTCCTGCCACAGTTAATTATCTCTTTGCTTCTCAGTTGCAGATCTGATCTCTTCTGAACACCTCACCGTGTCTCCATCCCTGGTTCTCTGAACCCAGAAGCTGGACTAGTTTGTTCTTGGAATTTTCGGTGTCCCGTCTTCTTGCTTTCCTTTTGCCTGTCTCCCTTCCCCCTCCTGAGAACTCCTAAAGACTGTAGGATTGTCATGGAGTCCAGAGAAATCTTGAGCAGCTCCCGGCAAAGAGGGAGTGAGTCGGAATTCCTGCCGGTCTCCTTAGCCAAGCCCCCAGCTGCTCCTGGCTGTACAGGAGAACCTTTGCTGTCCAGTCCAGGACCTGGGAAGAGCATCCCAGTGGGTGGAGAACGCATGGAGCCAGAGGAGGAGGATGAACTGGGCTCAGGAAGGGATGTGGATTCCAACTCCAATGCAGACAGTGAGAAATGGGTGGCAGGCGATGGCTTGGAAGAGCAGGAGTTTTCCATCAAGGAGGCCAACTTCACTGAGGGGAGTCTGAAGCTGAAGATTCAGACCACAAAGAGGGCAAAGAAACCCCCGAAGAATCTGGAGAACTATATCTGCCCACCTGAGATCAAGATCACCATCAAGCAATCTGGGGATCAGAAGGTGTCCCGAGCTGGAAAAAATAGCAAAGCTACAAAGGAGGAAGAAAGAAGCCACTCCAAAAAGAAGGTAGGAATCCCTGTCATGTAGGCTCTTGGTTTCGGTTTTTGCTCTTTTATCTCCGACATTTGAAAGTCTGTTTACACATCAC